CTGCTGATTGAAGATGGTACCGTTGGGGCACAGGAACGAGTCCTGTTGGCGCCTGAGGGCGCGGTCCTGGCAGATATGGAACACCTGGCAGCCGGCTTCAGCTGCAGTGTCGGCGTAATAACCTTGCACCGCTACGGCATCGCACGAGAACCCGGTGTCGGGCACGGAAGCCAAGATGGGGTAGTCCTCGCCGGGGACGCCGCCCCCAGGAATGCTCTCGGACAGAGCCACTATTTCTTCGTCCTGCCCGTAGCCATAGCCGTTGCTTGATCCTCCGAATCCGTTAGCCGAGGCTCCAAATCCATTACCCGAGGCTCCGAATCCGTTACCCGAGGCTCCAAATCCGTTACCCGAGGCTCCGAATCCGTTACCCGAGGCTTCGAATCCATTACCCGAGGCTCCAAATCCGTTACCCGAGGCTCCGTTGGGGACGCCGTAGCTGGTGGAAGGAAGGTCTGCGGCGGCGATGCCGGCAACCACTGCTGAAAAAGGCGAGAAAACAATTACCCAGCTGAGGCGGCCAACTTTACACATGCGCATTCCCATATATGCACAGTATCGAGAAACCCAAAACAACGCAGGAAACCGCAGCCACATTAGGAATACGATGACTGGTTCATCCCATGTCTTATCCTGTACCTAGCAGGACAAGAGCCCTCATGTCGAATTTATCTTGGCAGGAAGGAAGATGATGCAGACGGAGGGACGCCCTGCCTTTTATACTCGCCCGCCAAGCGCCGCCCACTGACCCACTGCTTCTTCCTTTCGTTATTCGCGGTAACCTTGTCACATCTGCAAGCGCGGTCGAGCTGTATTGGCATCGTTACTTTGCCGGTGACCTTACCATTAGAAATGCTATAATGTTTTCACTGGCGTTATATCAAAGGGGCACATTGGCAGTCGTAGGCCTATTTAATGCATTTGAAACCAAATCATAGGTATATGTATGTATATATGTGTGTGTGTTTGTGTATACGTATGTATTTATATATATATATATATATATATATATATATATATATATATATATATATATGACTTACGGTGAACACATATGCCCATAAAATATTGAAATCAAGTACATTTTATCCTGATGATGCAATTCATATAGTAACTCTAATGATCGTTGCGCTGAATTATTTTTAGAATTACACGGAATGGGACAGATTTTTACTGCTAGTATATCCTCTTTCGTTATGAGTATGAAACCGATTTCTACAGCAATTAAATGGTTGCAATTGTTCAAGTGATCCTCCTTAAATGCATTCAAGACTTCCTAATTATTACAGGTGTTGGCATTGATATCTTTACCGTTATCTTCATGAATTAGAGGACATTATAGCCTATTTTAATAATCAGTTATGGGTGTATTTTTATGAGGTTTGAGATTATTCTAGAATAATGGTATGTGTGTTGATAGTACATGCGTTTGCCAACTTTTGTGCACATATATAGTAATAGACTGTACATTCATATCTGAGGCATTCATGCATATAGATTCAAAGTCTGTACAAAGATGGAAAGGCACATAAGCATGGACATATAAATGGAGAGTTGGAAATAAAATCCATAAATATGTGTGTAGTACAGTATATGCGTGTGAGTGCGTCCGTGGGCCCGTGTAAGGAAGCAAGCCTATATTAGCTATATAGTAAGTGTGTAATATACTAGAAAATACTAGTGTCTTCCACCATACTACCGTGCATATGCTAAAACCATTGGGCGCAAGCGTATGATTTCAACATAAAGTTAAGGCATTTTCCCTCAGTGATGGTTTGTGTCATCAAAGCACCAGATCGCAGATCTTTACGTGAGTTTTCTGCTTTCGAATTAAGAAATTCTTGAGCTTTAATTGCCTGGCCGTATTTGACTTTACTGGTAAGTCTGTTTGTGATTCAGGATTCAAAGTATTTGATAGTAAGAAGAGTGAAGATCACATGATCAATAAGGTGTTTTCACCAACAATTTCTCTTCGAAAAAAATAATACTGTAACATTTACGGTAAGCGATTCATAGTTACGCTTCTACAATTAAACACTAAAAATTCCAAAAATGCAACATTAAATATTTAGGGGCTCTGGAAGCTATGTTTTTTAACCCTCCCTCCCCATTCCCCTATATCTTTAGGTCTGAAAGATATGTATGACAAAATAAAAACATTTATGTATTTGAAGTTAAACAAATGTTTATCTTTGCCTTTGTAAAATCAGATGACATAAAACAAACAATTCTTGCTGTTTTGTATCATTGCTTACAATCAAACTAACCTCACAATTATAGTCATCTGTGGTGGCTTATTTACTTATTCATTTTAGCCAATTTCCGATTTGTTCTCTTTTCTCAGGCGTCATCTGGGGGCTTTTCCTCTCCCTTTCAGTTAATTTCATGGGTTTTTTTTTCAGGAGAGAGAGGGAGAGAGAGAAAGAGAGAATGAGAGGGAAATAGAGAATAGGAGGGAGAGAGATTCAAGAGTTTGTCATCCTTTTATCGAATTTAATAAACCAAATGTAAAAGCAATGAGAATTATCTCAAATTTCTAATCAGATCTTAGTCTGTATTTCCTCGCTTTCAGATCAAAATCTCCTTGAGGTTTTTAAATATACATTCTCGAAATAGATAAATTCATTTGTTACAAGAATGAACAAGCTGACAATTCGCGAACCATGAAGAAACACGTTTTCTCTGCCGTTTTAATTCCAGAGTTTCAGGTTGAGTTTCTTTAATCGTTTAAGCGTTATGTCATGGTAAAGCTTTGGTAAATGGGAAAAAATATTTTTCTTAGCTTTTATATTGTGGTAAGTTCAACAAAATAATTGATTACTTAGCGTGGAACAATAGAGAAAACTAAATTAATTACTTCTACGTATTTATTGTAAATTGTACATAAATATTTGTTTATTTGGGACGATTAGAATGGAAGGGCTGAGTGACGAACAGATCAGAAGGGGGCGCCGTAGGAGGTGGAAGGAGCAACGGGAGATCCGTTTCCATTGCCGTTGCTTCCGTTGCCATTAACGCCGTTACCGTTGGAGCCACTACCGCTACCGTTGCCGTTGATTCCATTACCATTAGAGCCATAGCCGTTGATTCCATTACCGTTGCTTCCCCCACCGTTGACTCCGTTGCCATTAGCACCGTTTCCATTCCTCTTGCCGTTAAAACCGTTGCCGTTGCCGTTAACGGCAGCGCCATAGGCGTATCCGGCGTCGGGAACGACTCCGATGAGTTCGTTGACGGAGTAGAAGCTCTCAGCTTGAGAACAGTCCACGTTGAACCACCAGTCACATACCAGGTACTGCTGGTTGAAGATGGTACCGTTGGGGCACAGGAACGAGTCCTGTTGGCGCCTGAGGGCGCGGTCCTGGCAGATATGGAACACCTGGCAGCCGGCTTCAGCTGCAGTGTCGGCGTAATAACCTTGCACCGCTACGGCATCGCACGAGAACCCGGTGTCGGGCACGGAAGCCAAGATGGGGTAGTCCTCGCCGGGGACGCCGCCCCCAGGAATGCTCTCGGACAGAGCCACTATTTCTTCGTCCTGCCCGTAGCCATAGCCGTTGCTTGATCCTCCGAATCCGTTAGCCGAGGCTCCAAATCCATTACCCGAGGCTCCGAATCCGTTACCCGAGGCTCCAAATCCGTTACCCGAGGCTCCGAATCCGTTACCCGAGGCTCCGAATCCGTTACCCGAGGCTCCAAATCCGTTACCCGAGGCTCCGTTGGGGACGCCGTAGCTGGTGGAAGGAAGGTCTGCGGCGGCGATGCCGGCAACCACTGCTGAAAAAGGCGAGAAAACAATTACCCAGCTGAGGCGGCCAACTTTACACATGCGCATTCCCATATATGCACAGTATCGAGAAACCCAAAACAACGCAGGAAACCGCAGCCACATTAGGAATACGATGACTGGTTCATCCCATGTCTTATCCTGTACCTAGCAGGACAAGAGCCCTCATGTCGAATTTATCTTGGCAGGAAGGAAGATGATGCAGACGGAGGGACGCCCTGCCTTTTATACTCGCCCGCCAAGCGCCGCCTACTGACCCACTGCTTCTTCCTTTCGTTATTCGCGGTAACCTTGTCACAGCTGCAAGCGCGGTCGAGCTGTATTGGCATCGTTACTTTGCCGGTGACCTCTCCATTAGAAATGCTATAATGTTTTCACTGGCGTTATATCAAAGGGGCACATTGGCAGTCGTAGGCCTATTTAATGCATTTGAAACCAAATCATAGGTATATGTATGTATGTGTGTGTTTGCGTATACGTATGTGTTTATATATATATGACTTACGGTGAACAAATATGCTCATAAAATATTGAAATCAAGTACATCTTATCCTGATAATGCAATTCATATTCTAATTCTAATAATCGTTGTGCTCACTTCACTTACATTTGTAATTATTTTTGGAATTACACAGAATGGGACAGATTTTTACCGAAACCGATTTCTACAGCAACTAAATGGTTGCAATTGTTCAAGTGATCCTCCCTAGATACACTCAAGACTTCCTAATTATTACAGGTGTTGGCATTGATATCTTTACCGTTATCTTCATGAATTAGAGGACATTATAGCCTATTTTAATAATCAGTTATGGGTGTATTTTTATGAGGTTTGAGATTATTCTAGAATAATGGTATGTGTGTTGATAGTACATGCGTTTGCCAACTTTTGTGCACATATATAGTAATAGACTGTACATTCATATCTGAGGCATTCATGCATATAGATTCAAAGTCTGTACAAAGATGGAAAGGCACATAAGCATGGACATATAAATGGAGAGTTGGAAACAAAATCCATAAATATGTGTGTAGTACAGTATATGCGTGTGAGTGCGTCCGTGGGCCCGTGTAAGGAAGCAAGCCTATATTAGCTATATAGTAAGTGTGTAATATACTAGAAAATAGTAGTGCCTTCCACCATACAACCGTGCATATGCTAAAACCATAGGGCGCAAGCGTATGATTTCAACATAAAGTTAAGGCATTCTCCCTCAGTGATGGTTTGTGTCATCCCTGCACCAGATCGCAGATCTTTACGTGAGTTTTCTGCTTTCGAATTAAGAAATTCTTGAGCTTTAATTGCCTGGCCGTATTTGACTTTACTGGTAAGTCTGTTTGTGATTCAGGATTCAAAGTATTTGATAGTAAGAAGAGTGAAGATCACATAATCAATAAGGTGTTTTCACCAACAATTTCTCTTCGAAAAAATAATACTGTAACATTTATGGTAAGCGATTCATAGTTACGCTTCTACAATTAAACACTAAAAATTCCAAAAATGCAACATTCAATATTTAGGGGCTCTGGAAGCTATGTATTTTAACCCTCCCTCCCCATTCCCCTATATCTTTAGGTCTGAAAGATATGTATGACAAAATAAAAACATTTATGTATTTGAAGTTAAACAAATGTTTATCTTTGCCTTTGTAAAATCAGATGACATAAAACAAACAATTCTTGCTGTTTTGTATCATTGCTTACAATCAATCTAACCTCACAATTATAGTCATCTGTCGTGGCTTATTTACTTATTCATTTTAGCCAATTTCCGATTTGTTCTCTTTTCTCAGGCGTCATCTGGGGGCTTTTCCTCTCCCTTTCAGTTAATTTCATGTTTTTTTTGTTTTGTTTTTCAGGAGAGAGAGGGAGAGAGAGAAAGAGAGAATGAGAGGGAGAGAGATTCAAAAGTTTGTCATCCTCTAATCGAATTTAATAAACCAAATGTAAAAGCAATGAGAATTATCTCAAATTTCTAATCAGATCTTAGTCTGGATTTCCTCACTTTCAGATCAAAATCTCCTTGAGGTTTTTAAATATACATTCTCGAAATAATAGATAAATTCATTGTTACAAGAATGAACAAGCTGACAATTCGCGAACCATGAAGAAACCCGTTTTCTCTGCCGTTTTAATTCCAGAGTTTCAGGTTGAGTTACTTTAATCGTTTAAGCGTTATGTCATGGTAAAGCTTTGGGAAATGGGAAAAAATATTTTTCTTAGCTTTTATATTGTGGTAAGTTCAACAAAATAATTGATTACTTAGCGTGGGACAATAGAGAAAACTAAATTAATTACTTCTACGTATTTATTGTAAATTGTACATAAATATTTGTTTATTTGGGACGATTAGAATGGAAGGGCTGAGTGACGAACAGATCAGAAGGGGGCGCCGTAGGAGGTGGAAGGAGCAACGGGAGATCCGTTTCCATTGCCGTTGCTTCCGTTGCCATTAACGCCGTTACCGTTGGAGCCACTACCGCTACCGTTGCCGTTGATTCCATTACCATTAGACCCATAGCCGTTGCTTCCATTACCGTTGCTTCCCCTACCGTTGGCTCCGTTGCCATTGACTCCGTTGCCATTCCCTCTGCCGTTAAAACCGTTGCCGTTGCCATTAACGGCAGCGCCATAGGCGTATCCGGCGTCGGGAACGACTCCGATGAGTTCGTTGACGGAGTAGAAGCTCTCAGCTTGAGAACAGTCCACGTTGAACCACCAGTCACATACCAGGTACTGCTGGTTGAAGATGGTACCGTTGGGGCACAGGAATGAGTCCTGTTGGCGCCTGAGGGCGCGGTCCTGGCAGATATGGAACACCTGGCAGCCGGCTTCAGCTGCAGTGTCGGCGTAATAACCTTGCACCGCTACGGCATCGCACGAGAACGCGGTGTCGGGCACGGAAGCCAAGATGGGGTAGTCCTCGCCGGGGACGCCGCCCCCAGGAATGCTCTCGGACAGAGCCACTATTTCTTCGTCCTGCCCGTAGCCATAGCCGTTGCTTGATCCTCCGAATCCGTTAGCCGAGGCTCCAAATCCATTACCCGAGGCTCCGAATCCGTTACCCGAGGCTCCAAATCCGTTACCCGAGGCTCCGAATCCGTTACCCGAGGCTCCGAATCCGTTACCCGAGGCTCCAAATCCGTTACCCGAGGCTCCGTTGGGGACGCCGTAGCTGGTGGAAGGAAGGTCTGCGGCGGCGATGCCGGCAACCACTGCTGAAAATGGCAAAAAAAGAAGGGGGGTGGGTATAAATGTTCTAATACTGCCGCCTTAATATATGCATTCGATGTATATATGCATACAGGAAACTGAAAGAAATGCACTGAGAGGGGAATGCATAGCCACACCAACACAAAATGACAATTTCATTTCATGTTTTATCCCATACCTAATAGGACAAGAGCCCTCATGTCGAATTTATCTTGGCAGGAAGGAAGATGATGCAGACGGAGGGACGCCCTGCCTTTTATACTCGCCCGCCAAGCGCCGCCCACTGGCCTTCAAATCCTTCCTTTCGTCGTTCACGGAAATCTTGTCACAGTGCATGCACGAAGCTGACATTGCACGTTCCTGAACCACTGGTATTACTTGTGATACCACAAAAGTGATCAGCATTATTGATGGTGTTATAGATATCAATAGAGGAATTTTTTTTAATGTAGCCGAAATCAAGACAGAAAGTACTGTTTTATTTAATGCACAATGAGTGATCATTAAGGTCACCACTAACGTTATTTTCATCGTGGACAGTGCTTATATGAATCATTATTATTATTATTAGCATTAGCATTATTATTATTATCAAATGCCATTTTATCTTGATTACTTTCCTTCTTGTAAATGTGCTAATAAATGAATACTTAAGAAAAATGTATTTCATCCATATAATGTAATTTTTATTCCATATTTGGATAAAGGGAAAAAAGAGAAACAAGAATAACATGCATGATAGATTACCGCATTTTCAATCAACATCATTAATATTATTATTATTGTTATTATCATTATTACTGTTACTATTACTGTTATTTTCATTATTTTATAATTGATGTTGCGGTTGTTGCTATTAATATTATTGTTAATGTTATTATTTTTATCATTACTGTCATAGTTATTATCATTACTATTAGTATTATCATTATGAATATCTTTATTATTATCATTATTGTTATTATTATTACTATTACCATTATTATCATTGTCATAGAACGAAAACACTAATAAAATTAGATAAGGACAAATAGAGCAGAAATTTAACTAAGGAGTAAATGGCTGAATTTTAACGTTGGACGAAATAGGAACTTAGGAAGAAAGGAATGAAATTTAACATAGGACGAAGATAATGAAATTAAATATAGAATGAAAAGAATGAAATTGAATATAGGAAAAAGAAAGTAATCTGATGTCAGACGAAAAGGACGATGTCTAACGGTGAACGATAAGAATGAAATTTAACGAAGACAGGTGTGATTTAACGTGAGGCAAAATATCTTAGATTTAATGGAGGAGGAAATGACTGAAATATAACATACGACAAATGCTTAATCATAAAGATCACGAACCCGAGTAAATAATTTCGCGAAGCCTTTTTACATCAAAATGAGTTTAGATTGCAGTTTTGATGATAAACTGTTTAACGTAGATATATTAACACGTAGACTGCGTGTAATCGTATGGTTGGTTTACTTTGAAATATGTTTTTTTATGCATAAACTAAGCTAAGGATTGCATTAATCTCTCTCTAGCACACGCGCTCTGTGTGTATATGTATATGTATGTATATATATATATATGTGTGTGTGTGTGTGTGTGTATGTATATATAAATGTATATACAAATACATATGTATACATATTTACACACATACATTTATATATACACATATATGTATAAGTACATGTAAACATATATATAAATATATATTACATATATATGCATATAAGTATATATATCAATTCATACATATATATATATATATATATATATATACATTTACATACATATGTATACATATATTTATTTGTTGATTAGAAAATTCTGATGATTGTTTCTAGTAATAAGATACAAGCATGACTTTCTCTCCATATATCCGTAAAGTCCTTTCATTTGGATTCTACGATTCATTTTCACAGAACTACACCGTACACTGTTGTAGTGCCAACAGTCAAGGTAAAACCCTGATCCACAGGGAGTTATAGATCATAAAACCAGGCATAAAAAGTAATCTGGATCAAAAAGTAAAATTGATTTATTATTTACAAATTTATTGTAAATTATACATAAATACTTTTCTATTTGGGAGTACGGTATTCGGCAAAAAGGGATCTGCCGGACAGATCAGAAGGGGGCGCCGTAGGAGGTGGAAGGAGCAACGGGAGATCCGTTTCCATTGCCGTTGCTTCCGTTGCCATTAACAACGTTACCGTTGGAGCCACTACCGCTACCGTTGCCGTTGATTCCATTACCATTAGAGCCATAACCGTTGCTTCCATTGCCGTTGCCGTTAACGGCAGCGCCATAGGCGTATCCGGCGTCGGGAACGACTCCGATGAGTTCGTTGACAGAGTAGAAGCTCTCAGCTTGAGAACAGTCCACGTTGAACCACCAGTCACATACCAGGTACTGCTGGTTGAAGATGGTACCGTTGGGGCACAGGAACGAGTCCTGTTGGCGCCTGAGGGCGCGGTCCTGGCAGATATGGAACACCTGGCAGCCGGCTTCAGCTGCAGTGTCGGCGTAATAATCTGCCACCGCCTGGGCATCGCACGAGAACCCGGTGTCGGGCACGGAAGCCAAGATGGGGTAGTCCTCGCCGGGGACGCCGCCCCCGGGAATGCTCTCGGACAGAGCCACTATTTCTTCGTCTTGCCCGTAGCCATAGCCGTTACTTGATCCTCCGAATCCGTTAGCCGAGGCTCCAAATCCATTACCCGAGGCTCCGAATCCGTTACCCGAAGCTCCGAATCCGTTACCCGAAGCTCCAAATCCGTTTCCCGAAGCTCCGTTGGGGACGCCGTAGCTGGTAGAAGGAAGGTCTGCGGCGGCGATGCCGGCAACCACTGCTGAAAAAAAAAGCGAGAAAAGAATTAGCGACCTGAAGCTGCTACGTTTACACACGCGCATTCTCATCAATTTAGAGAAATATGGAAACGCCACACAAAAAACTCGTCTTATCTGATACCCCTTACTACACAGGACAAGAACCCTCATATCGAAATCAAGACAAAGAAAGAAGGAAAATGGCGCGGAAAGGAGGGCCGCCCTGCCTTTTATGCTCGCCCGTCAAGCGCCGTCCACTGACCCTCAACTTCCTTTCGTTATTCCTGGTAATATTGTCACATTCGCAAACATGATCATATTGCCAGTGCATGTATTGTATTGTATTGTTATTGTTAACAACTGCGTTATTGCTGCGTTGCCATATGAAGATAATTTTCGTCATGTCGATCCTGACGAAGAAGGGTATTTGCAATGCAGATGATGTTTACTTTTTTCGGTACTGCCGCTATTAGGTCAAGTTGTTTTATATGCTTCTGAAATGTTAAAAGATTTTGAAAAAATGTATCTTACCCATGGGAATTATAACATGAAGAAAATCTTACTCGTATAAGAAGAAGAATTATTCCACTAGTATATTTACTGAGAATCTATTCATATATTACTATTTCTCCTACATTGTTGAAGTCCTCTTTGGAATTAAATGCAATGAGAGAGATTGTGCACGCACGGCATGGTGCCCATTGTCCTTATCAGTATAACGTTATTATTTCAGTATGATAGTGACGTAATCATGCGTGCCGTCGGTGTCATAAAATGATTACGTGACTTCTCAGGTTACTTATTCTATATTAACATTGTGTTTAAAATAAATATTTACTACTAACAGTTAGGATATCTTTTTAAAGTGTTACAGATATTTCTAAATCAACAGCGATTAGTATTTTGATCTTGAATTTTAATGTTATCAAGAGATCACATCACTCGCAGGAGTGTAAACTTTTCTTCGCGTGTGAGTGTTTGCGTTTACGTGGATGGATATACATGCGTACTTACACACACACACATAGATACGACACACAGATACATGTATATATATACATACATACACACATATATGTGTGTGTGTGTGAGTACACTTCTATATAGTTTTGCGTGTGCTTTTGTACTTTCTGGTCCGTGTTTTGGTGACATTCTTTTAAGTAGGTTCTGCGACTTACAGCATGCAACACTGCATTTCTGAAATCATAGGATACTCGAAGCAAACAAGATTTGAAAATAAAATTAACTCATTTTTACCATCGCTGCGCTCTATGCTATCTTTGCTTCAGACCAGCGCGTAGTAAGCAGCTAAATCTCTTGCTTTGGGATGGTAAACTTCTACAGTGCTAACTGCGTGGCATTACTCACCTCCATTAGTAATTAAGTCTGTAATTCAGTTTCCAAAAGAATAAAGAAAAAATAAAGATCATGGATATGAAAAAAAATCCTACAGGATTATTTTAGGTTATTTTTTATAATAGGTCATCCATGGACGCAGCAGTTTAGCATTTGAGGAAAATAAATGAACAAAAATCAGTTTTGTTCTGTGTGATTGGAAATTCTGACTATGCGACTAAGTGCCGAAGAAATGCCTTTTAATGCAGTAATATATATATATATATATATATATATATATATATATATATATATATATATATATATACAATTAATATATGAATAAATACACAAATGACAAAAACTACAAAAATACATTTACAATAGAAAAGAATCTAAACCGCTTTAGACAATAATAAAGATAACACCTTATCCATATTATACATTCATATATCCATATCCATTATATATCCATATTTATCCATTGACCTATAAACACGCTTGTTTGCATTGCTGTTTGTTATCCACATCTTCTGCCTCAATGGTGACTATTTCATAGACTTCATTTCTGTCATTTAATTTAAGTAACAATGAAACAGAAATCATTTGGCGTCGATTCTTACTCTCACGAGCCAACTATCAAGTGATTACTCCCAGCATAAAGCATCTATTGAATAAAGATTATAGACACGTAGATTTCAGTGAGTTTTAGCAATACATGTTATAATTTTCGGGCTAATGCTATCATTCATGAAGATATGTGTAAAGTAGCAGGCGATTCATTCGTATGTATCATTGGATAACAAGAGTAAAAGAAAATTAAAGAACTAAACATTTATTGTAAAATATACATAAATACTTTTCTACTTGGAGATACGGTATTCGGTGCAAAGCGACCTGCCGGATAGATCAGAAGGGGGCGCCGTAGGAGGTGGAAGGAGCAACGGGAGATCCGTTTCCATTGCCGTTGCTTCCGTTGCCATTAACGCCGTTACCGTTGGAGCCACTACCGCTACCGTTGCCGTTGATTCCATTACCATTAGAGCCATAGCCGTTGCTTCCATTACCGTTGACTCCGTTGCCATTGGCTCCGTTTCCATTCCTCTTGCCGTTAAAACCGTTGCCGTTGCCGTTAACGGCAGCGCCATAGGCGTATCCGGCGTCGGGAACGACTCCGATGAGTTCGTTGACGGAGTAGAAGCTCTCAGCTTGAGAACAGTCCACGTTGAACCACCAGTCACATACCAGGTACTGCTGGTTGAAGATGGTACCGTTGGGGCACAGGAACGAGTCCTGTTGGCGCCTGAGGGCGCGGTCCTGGCAGATATGGAACACCTGGCAGCCGGCTTCAGCTGCAGTGTCGGCGTAATAACCTGCCACCGCCTGGGCATCGCACGAGAACCCGGTGTCGGGCACGGAAGCCAAGATGGGGTAGTCCTCGCCGGGGACGCCGCCCCCGGGAATGCTCTCGGACAGAGCCACTATTTCTTCGTCCTGTCCGTAGCCATAGCCGTTGCTTGATCCTCCGAATCCGTTAGCCGAGGCTCCGAATCCGCTACCCGAGGCTCCGAATCCGTTACCCGAGGCTCCGAATCCGTTGCCCGAGGCTCCGTTGGAAGCTCCAGATCCTTCGCTGGGGACACCGTAATTGTAGGAAGGAAGTTTGTCCGCGATGGCGATGCCCAGAAGCACGGCTGGAAAATGTAAAACAAGCAGAATAACAATGAAGAGATGTAACTTTGTCTTTTTTTCTTTTTTCATTTGGCTTATATCTGATTTCCTCTCACCGGTCAGGACAAGAACCCTCATGTTGACGAGAAGAGGAGGATGAATTGGCGGGAAGGAAACTGATGCGGGACCGAGTGTTCGCCAGGCTTTTATACGCACCGCCGGGCGCCGCTGCTGGCCTTGGCTTGGTCCTTTCATCAATCTTGTTTCATCGTGGGTACAAGTTTGTTTGGGTGGTTTCCGTCGGGACAAAAAAAAATCATATACAGAGAGAATATATTTTTAAAAATGTGAACATATGTTTACATGTATATATACATATATATACTATTTATGTATGTACATATATATAAATATATGCTTATTAATTTCCTCATTCAAACATTCATGCAATCTCTCTTTCTTTCTTTCTCTCTCTCTCTCAAAATATATGTGTGTGCTTGTAAATAAATGAATAGATAAATAGAATATATATATGTATACCTATATATGTATATATATACATATATATATATATATGTATATATATATATATATATATATATATGTATATATATATTCATATATATATATTTATATATATATATATGTAGATATATATTTATGTATATTTATATATATATTTATATATATATATATTTATGTATTTGATATATATATATGTATATATATATTTATGTATTTGATATATATATGTATATATATATTTATATATATATGTATATATATTTTCATATATATATATATATATATATATATATATATATTTATATACATTTTTTTATTTATATATATATACATATATATATGTATATATATGTATATATATATATATATGCGTGTGTGTGTATGTGTCAAAACCTTTACTACATAAAGTTTGAATAAATAACAGTGGTTTGCATTTAATTTATATTCACTAAGACAAAGGCAGACGAGTTATGAATGAGAATGAAATACATCAACAATGTAATTGGCACATTTCGATTTTCATCTTCAACACAATAACACGCATTTTTATATTATATTATATATATATATATATATATGTTTATATATATAATGTAAAAATAATGTGTGTTATTGTGTTGAAGATGAATTCGAAACGTGCTAATTACGTACACACACACACACACACACAAACACACAAAAACAACACACACACACACACACAAACACACAAAAACAACACAGACACACACACACACACACACATATATATATATATATATATATATATATATACATATATATATCGAAACGTGTAAACCTAGTTTTGTGAAGTCATTCCTCCATGATTAGCATTGTTGCTTGAAATTGTAATCCTAATAATCTCTGTCATTCTCCTGCTTCCCCAAACCGTCATTATCATTACATATTTCTGTTTCTCCGAACCGTTTTCATTATCACAAATTTCAAATTATATATATATATATACAATTAATATATGAATAAATACACAAATGACAAAAACTACAAAAAAATACATTTACAATAGAAAAGAATCTAAACACCTTATCCATATTATAAATTCATATATTCATTTACATTATATATCCATATTTATCCATTAACCAATAAGCACGCTTGTTTGTATTTTTTGTATTGTACATCTGCCTCGATGGTGACTTTATTTCACAGACTTTATTTTTGTAATTTGATTTAAGTAACAATGAAACAGAAATCATTTGGCGTCGATTCTTACTATCAGGAGCCGATTACCAAGTGATTAACCTCAGCATAAAGCATCTATTAAATAAAGATTATAGACACGTAGATTTCAGTGAGTTTTAGCAATACATTTCATAATTTTCGGGCTAATGCCATCTTTCATGAAGATATGTGTACAGTAGCAGACGATTAATTCCTGTATATTTCTTCTTCTTCTACGACGTTTCCCTTATTTAGGGGTTGTCACTTTCCACATACTGCTTTTCTCCACTTCTTTCGGTCTTGTGTCCACTGCTCTTCGATGTTCCTTTTCTTCATGTCGGCCATCACGCAATCCAGCCACCTCTTTCTTTGTCTTCCTCTGCTCCGCTTTCCAGGGATAGCCAGATCCATCGCATTCCGTATGCCTTTTTCCTCATGCCTTCTTTTCACATGGCCGA